TTACATAATTGTTTTTCGTTTTTTTTTGTACATTATTTAAATCGTTAGTTTTCTCGTTTGAATTGTTTTACATTTGTGATTTCGGGACCTTTTATATCTGACTATGCGGTATGGGCTTTGCTTATTGCTGAAGGCCGTACGGTGATTTATTACAATAGCTGTTAATTGCTGTGTCATTTGGTCTCTTGTAGAGGGTTGTCTCATTTGGTAATCTTAGTTTTTATATCAACCCTGCTACATTCTTTGTGTGCCTGTCCCAAGACAGGAGCCTATAGTTTAGTGGTTGTCGTTGGTTCATGTCTCGACTCATATTTGATATTTTGTAATTTATTTTGTTATGTATAATTAGGCCGTTAGTTTTTTCGTTTGAATTGTTTCTCACACTTTTCACGTCGGGCCTGTTATAGACGACTTTTAATACAGTATCGGGTTTTGTCATTGTTGAAGGCCTTAATTACGGTTGCCTATAATTGCTTACATCCACTTCATATTTGAACTTCGGTGGATAGTTGTCTCATTAGCAATCATACATCTCTTCGTTTTTATATTATATACCTGACTTTTAAACTTGTGTTTTCCTGAACCGAGTCCTGAACATGCATGACATATTTGTCACTTGGTGTTAAAAAAAAATCATTTGATATTTTTCCTTTTATTGGGGTGGGGGACAGGAGGATTTCATATATGAATATATGGCAGACAGATTAAAAAAAGTTAATAATGCCCTCTTCCCTTCCCCATCCTTTATCTATAAATTTAAACTGACCACCACGGAATAGCCGAACTTAGTGTTGAAAGTAGCGTTAAACACCAATCAATCAAAATCCCTTCCCTGGAATATCAAATAGTCGTCCCTTAACTGTTATTGTCCGTGTTGTTCTTATATTTATCCAGCTTATCGTCCTACAGGGATGTCCTACTAAGACTGTCATATCATAAAAACGTTTATAACACAGCTCACATTCTAATATATCTGCATTCATAAATTTATTAATGTCATTTAGACTAAACGACGCCATGTTTGTTATGTGCCTCTGCCGTCTAAACTACCTATCAAAAAAGAAGAGGTGGAAGAGAGCCAGAAGATCCTCCCTATTCAAAAAAACAGAAATGGACCTCTTCTGGCTCACTACCGAAGAACAAAAAAATACGCCCCTGGGGAGTGTTTCATTGGTCTCTTCTGTACATCTCCAGAACGTCTTCTGGTGAAGAGTCCAAAAAAATGAATCTGGACCTCTTCTGGAGATATTCTGTAGGAGAAGCAATAAAACAAAAAATCTATTTGCCGTCGAATATATCAGATTTTTTTTTTTTGTTGGATGACATAAATGAAGTTTACGATGATTTATTAGAAAATGAAGATACTTCAATTTATTCGGAAGACATGATTGTAATAGTGTGCTATGTTTCAGCATTGGTGTAATTATACAATAAGTGTAAAAACAAATAAAATTGGTTGGAAGAAATCGCTGTGTTCGTGAAATTTTTTCTTTATACTTTACTAACTAAAACTGACTTGAAGCGCCGACCATGTGATTTTAAGGAATAATCTTAAACTGTAAAAGAATTTTTCAATGTTTGTTTGGACATCTTGTCTATTAAGATTTTTAAAGTAAAGAACTGGATTATTTTTGCATATATAAAAGATATTGCAGAGTTCTCAAAATCTTTTTCCCTGGTGGCCCTTGAAGAAAATCTGCTGGTCCTAACTATTATTTCTATTGCAAAATTTCGATGGTCAAAACCTTCGGACCACGACTTTTTGATTGTATATGTATACAAGGTATACATGGTCATGGCGTTTCTCAGACTGTTTATTACTAAATCCGTTGATTGTGTAATGATTGATACTTCAGTTTGGGGAACACGATTTATTTGTTAGTTGTGATTGGCTTTGAACAAACTTTTAGTAACTAAAAATACTCTTATTTCGGTGTTTTGTGTCTATTGTCATAATGTTAGTTGGGTTTTATTTTTTTTGTGTCTCTTATCTTTTGATTTTTTACTATTGCAACTGATTTTTACAGTTTGTTTTTATGTTGTACAGTTACACCACTGTCCCAGTTTAGGGAAGAATTGATCGATCATAAACATGTTTAACCCTGCCATCTTAATGTGCCTGTGCCAAGTCAGGTGCATGTAGTTCAGTGGTTGTCGTTGGTTTATGTGTTGCCCTCAGTGTTGCCTCATATTTGATATTTGTAAATTGTTTTTGTTATATATAATAAGGCCGTTAGTTTTTTTTCGATTCAATTGTTTTACATTTTTAATGTCGGGGCCTTTAATAGCTGACTATACGGTATGGAGTTTTGTCATGGTTGAAGGCCATACGTTACCTATAATTCCTTATATCCCCTTAATTTGAACTCCAATGGATAGTTTTCTCATTGGAAATCATACCATATCTCCTTATTTTTATATTATATACCTGACTTTTAGACTCGTGTTTTTCCAGAAAATGCATGAAATATCTGTCCCTGGGCGTTAAAATTAAGCAACAAACTACCAATCATTTTAAACTCGTGTTGAATAAGGAGAAAAAACATTTGCTATTTTCTTTTTTTGTAGGGGTGGGGGACATGAGGATTTTGAAAAGGAATATGGAGACCTAGTGAGAGCTGAAAATAGGCATGGCATGCTTAGGGACATATTAAAATGTATAATAAATCCTGAAAAAAAAAAATTATCCTGCTCCCTCCCACTCCCTAGAATATCAAAAAGCTGTCCCCTTACTTTGATTGTTCATGTAGTTTTTATATTTATCCAGGTTATCGTCCCTACATGGATGTTCTCCTAAGGCTGCAATACCATAAAAACGTTAATCACACAGCACACATTCTATTATATCTGAATTCATAAATTTATTAATGTCATTTAGACTAAACGACGCCATGTTTGTTATATGTCTCTGCCGTCTAAACTACCCATTTGAAAAGAAGAGATAGGAGAGGAACAGAAGATCTTCCCAATGCAAAAAATTAGAAATGGACCTCTTCTGGCTCACTACCGAAGAACAAAAAAACACGCCCCTGGTAACACTTATCTATGATGAGTTTATTTATCTATAAATAGCCGAATCTCCTGAAGATTTGTAAACACACAAGTGATTATTTCAAGTAACATACATTTTATACGTGAAAACATAAGAAAACTTTTAGGAAAATACTTTTTTCTTATGTCATATTTATATATACTTAGTAAGATAATCTAAAGGCAACGCAAACATTTTAAAACGGAGATATCAAATAATTTCTGTTCGATTAATATTAATTTACACGAGAATTTTTATCTCAGGGGGCAAGGGGCGGCACTTCGACCTTTCTATGGCAGGGGTGAGCAGCTGAGACATCCAATACCCCACCCTTTATATATATATATATATATATATATATATTGAATGATAAAAGAACATTCATGTAGTTACCCTAGCTATCATATATTTTTTACAATAAGTACATACATGTATATACCTGCACATGGCTTATCATTGTTACGCTATTTCATGGGGAGATACTAGTAAATAGATTTGACAAATATCTAAAACATTTACGAAATCAAAGTGATTTTAGAGATAATCAATAATAGTGTACTCACTTGACATGTCAACGATATAAGAATGAGGCTTAGAAACGGGGAAATGCGAGGCTCTGCCGAACTTTTTCCCCGGTTCGGGTAGAATCCTTATATCGTTGATATGTCAAGTCAATACACTATTATTGTCTGTATATTGCAATCTAGAAAAAAAAACATTTTCAATTGTTGTTTATTGTGTTATTGTTATTTATTGATTTAAATATTGGGAAAAATCCCCCTTTAAAAAGGCCTCACATATGGCGGAGAAATATACGACACAATGAAATGTACATTACCTGTTGAAAACAATCGATGGTGAAAGAATTCGTTTGAGTATGGACTAAAATATCAGCAATAAGCATAAAACATGATGATTTATAGGTTTTAAACAAAAAATATTAACAAGTGAACTATGTTTTTCCAACAATTGTTAAAGAAATAAGTTTGAGTCGTTCCACGCTACATGTGAAAGCGGTCGTCATGTATATTTAAAAAAAGTTCCGGCTCTACTATTTAAATATTCATGCGGAAAAGTGATATCGGGTCATTGACTGTATATGACATAGAAATATACAGTCAACGCATTTTGACAGCTCAAATAGAACGAGTGCAGTAAAAACATATATACACACTCTCTGGTGATTTTTATTGCATCTGTAAAAAAAAAATCGACATCTGATTAGTTTCAGTTTCAATCATCAATCTTGTCTTATATTTCACCTAAATTTCTCGACCTCATGCAATATCATGAAGCTTCAAATAGTGAACTATCCCAGCGACTCATCCCTTCCACTCATTACATAATAAGTGCCCCCACACAAACCCCAAGATCGTTGGGCTGAGTTGGATGTTGTCTAGATCTACCTAGCTAGCTCTTCCAAGCAAGATATAGCAGAGGTTGAAGAACAGAAGACTTAAAATATATCTAAAAGGGAATATAAGAAGAACAAAAAACTACTCTCAGACGATTAAAGCAATTGTACATGTATGCTAACATATTTTAAGCAATGTTTAATTTCTATGAATGATTTTAAAGGAGATGTGAAGTATACATAATTAATTTAGACAGCAACCCAATTAAGCAACAAACAAAACGTGACAATTTACTTCTAAAGTTCAATCTACGGTCTTCTTCAACGGACATGTCATTACATTATTTTAAAGTTTTTTATCCTCCCAAGTCTAACTATAATATATAGAATAGTTGTGAATATGTGAGCCAAAATGTGTTCCTGTGAAACAAGTTCCAGTGGAATCACAGGAAATATATTCTGGGAGAACTTTTTTTCACAGATAATTTCTATATGATTTGTTCCATCTCTATAAAACAAGTTCCAAAATTTACCTGGTGAAAAAAGTTCTGGGTTTGTGAAATTTGTTCCTTACCTAGTGAAATAAGTTCCGGGTCTGTGAGATTTGTTCCTTACCTGGTGAAATAAGTTCCTTGTCTGTGAAATATGTTCCACTGGTTATACAAGTTATCTTTTATACTGAGCATTGTTATCAGTAAGTTTAAAGTTATAATTCAAGTACATTATAAAAACATGTGTTATATTGATAATGTAATAAATAAAAGTTGTAAGCATCCAATATGGATTCTTTGGAGTATAGCAAAATGTTTAATTACATTATCCATAAAAATTATCCAAATGACAATTATTTAATGAGGCAGATAAGCGAAGAATAAGAAAAATCCGTCAGAACTTTTTTATAGATCAATCATTTATTTATGAACATTGCAATTCAACATATGTTACTTCATATAAGAATTTGTAGGTAAACTGTTATCACAGAAATATGTCTCGCCCTTTAGTAATTTTGATTATGCAAATATTGAAATTAAAATAGCAATACTTTAACATGTTTCATAAGTTATGAAAATATTCAAAGTCAATGAACCGTGACTAAGGTACATGGCTAAACAATCTCCATGTAAATGAGATGTGCCAAAGCTAATACAACTGCATACCAAATACCATTGACTTATTATAAGTCGTTCCCTTCAAACAAACAAAAACACAAATATTAACTTATAAACTATTAAAAAGTTTCAAAGTCAATGAACCATGAAGAGGGAGTGAGGCTATATAATATCCATGGAAACGATATTTGCAAATGCCGATAAATTTGCATACCAAATATCGTTGACTAAACATTAGCAGTTCATCTTAAACTGATCTAATCACAAACTAATACATTTAAACTAAGCAAAAGTTTCTAAGTCGATAGACTATGACTGAGGGGGCGGAGCCAAATATTATCCATGGTAATGAGATGTGCTAATGCTTATACAACTGAAGACCAATTAACATTTGCCTACCCTAAATGGTTCCCCTTGAACTGACCTAATCACAAACTAATACATGTTAACTTAGCAAAATTCTCAAAGTCAATAGACCATGACTAAGGGAGCCAAATAATCTCCATGGAAATGAGATATACCAATGCTTATACAACTGCATACCAAATATCATTGACCTACCACTAGTGGTTCCCCATAAATTGACATAATCACAAACTAGTACATGTAAAATAAGCAAAAGTTTCAAAGTCAATAGAACATGACTGAGGGGGGAAGGGCCAAATAATCTCGATGGCAATGAGATGTGCCAATGCTGATACAACTGCATACCAAATGTAATTGATCTACCACTTGTGGTTCATCATAAACTAGACCGAATCACAAACTAATACATTGTTGATGACGCCGCTGCCGCCGCCGACACCGGAAACAGTATACCTATGTCTCGCTTTTTGACTCCATCAGGGCGAGACAAAAAATGAAAAGTGTGTTTTAAATATTTATCGCAGTTGTTAATCATAGTTGTGCATTTGTTATTTAATCATATTATCTACGTACAATATAAATGCTGACTTAATTTGAATTTCTAAAAGATTTACCTTATTTTGAATGTTGTCGTGTTGTTATAAGACTTGAATGTTGAGTATTAAATTTGTAAGGTACAACTATAGAACGTTTTGCTTGCTATCCAGTTAATGCATCATGTTAAAATAAAAATGAGAATGGAAATGGGGAATAACCTATAACACCCGGAACTAATTTAACATTTAGTAAAAAAATTAGTCCCGGAACAAATTTTACAGTGCTGGAACATATTTCCTTATAACATATATTCCGGGTATAAATTTTCTGTAATATAAATTCCGGTGGAACATATTTCCTATGAAATAAGTTCCGGCGGAACAAATGTTACGCCGGAAAAATATTTCGTTACAAAAAATAATCTTAATAACAAAAAATAATTCAGATATTACTTGAAACTTTGAGCAGGGTCAGGAACGAACTTCTTATGTTTGTTTTGAGGTTTATTGAATATATATACTAGACATGCTATATGCGAGAAAGAGAAATAAAAGACAATTATAAATTTAAAAGACGAAAATACTGTTGGCATTTTAAAAGATTATTCTTAATTGTATGTTTTTTACAAGAATTGTAAAACAAGTATAAACATACATTAACTATGATCATAAAACAAAAAGGCATTTATATGTCAACATACGAACGGTCTCCCACAAAAGATTATGTCAATCCAGTATTTCAAGCTTTTAACGGCAAGTATGATAAAGGCCTTATTCGTCATCCAACATTAAATGGTATAGTAAATAAATATGAAGATATGTACAAGTAAAACAATAACAAAAGATACAGTATCAAACTGTATGCTTGATAAAGTTTTGGTCAAATTTGTTGATTCTCTTATGTTGATGGCTTCATAGTGAATTTAAAGTAGCTTTGCAGAACTTATCACCTTCTTTATAACCAACGTCCATTATGATTTGAAAAAGAATGGCGGCGAAACTACTATGTTTTCAGGCTCTTACAATAGGTCTTATATAACAATTTACCCGTCTCGTGACTCTGAGTGTTTTTCATCCAAAAATAAAATCAAGAAGTCCAATAAAACCAAATAATCTGAAAAAAGAAACATGTAATTGTAAAGGATACTCATTATTCAAATATAGAAAAAGAGGCGTGGAGCATTCAACATTGCAGTCCAACCACAATGAATAGACAAAATCTTCATCGACAACAAAAATAACCATACAAATATGTGAAGCTTTACATTTTAAGGATCATTTTTGAAAAGATGTGAGATACCGTTGGAAATATATTAGTCGTGTTCTTATATGTTTAAATTTTACTACGTTTCACTCTACACTTTTCGATGCCTATTATGAACGAAAAACTTGCAGGTGGAAGCGGCCATACTTTTCTAACACAAATAAACAAGCAAACAACCAAAGAAAAAGTCAACGAACAACTCCGATATCTGTTTGAAAAAAAATTATCGATAAAAAGACATTACCTCTAATTTCCAGTGTTAATACTTTCCTCAAAAGAAATTGGTCAATATTAAAAATGGTATAAGCCTTTTATAATTTTTGTTATCTACTACGTATACAATTTACATACAATTCTGAACGAATTAACTACAAAGAGAAAACATTTTCCACTTTCATCAGCTATGAGACGGCTAGCTTTTTAGAAACGCTATTACTTGTAGTTATATGAAAATACAATATTTACATTTCTTTACGGTCCTATGTTTTATCTATAAAGGTTTTTCTACATTTAAATGAGATAGGGTAATACCCATTGAATTTCATTCTGCAAGGGCGATTTTGGCAGTCAGTATATAAGGAAAATTTGAGGTGTGTTTGACCAATGCGACGTTCGTTACAAGATAGTAGGGACTAGGTTAGTTTGGTATACTATTCCGATCCCACCCCATTTACCCATCTCATGTATGTAACATTATCGTTTCTTTTTGACTTGTGTATGGTAAAAAAGTATGCCTTTTGGTATGGCTGATTGTATATATTCGGGTGTTGCTAAACGGCGGAAACGGAATACGGAACAGAATACAGAACACGGAACGGAAACGGAAAACTGAATCAGAAACACATACATCTTTTCTTTTTGGTTATTTATTTACATAGACATGTTTTATACAGTATATCATCACATTTTTACAAGAAAGAAACCAGGAATAAATTTAAGAAAAAAGATTTTATAGCATAAAGTATTGAAACAACCCAACAACACAGAATAAAAATATTCATAGATTATCAATTTCTAGCTTATGAGATGATTTGTACTGTTAAACTTTATAGTGCTTTTGAAATATGAATTTTATGAGATAACAAATCCTTTTTATATGTTTGATGCCCCACGTGTTTAAATGACATACTTGTTCTTTGACTTGAAATTATTTTATTCTTTGATGAAATAAAGATATGTATGTTTATATAACATTTATCAAACAAACAAATAAAAGACATTACATAAGATACATATGATTAGAGCACTGCGTATTACTTAAGACATAAAATATCTAAAGAAACGTTATCTCATAAAGTTCATATTTGAATTTCAAAAGTACATACTCAATCCATGCGTTAAACAGCATCCCTTAGGACTAATAGATTTATAAAGATTTGTAAAAATTTGAATATACATTATACAATATTTTTTATACGCCCGTTTACGGGACGTACTATGGTTTACTGTCGTCCGTCCGTCCGTCCGTCCGCCCGTCTGTCTGTCTGTCTGTCTGTCTGTCTGTCTGTCTGTCTGTCTGTCTGTCTGTCTGTCTGTCTGTCTGTCTGTCTGTCTGTCTGTCTGTCTGTCTGTCTGTTTGTGTCTGTCTGTCTGTCTGTCTGTCTGTCTGTCGTAAACATGTCGAACAATAACTCAAAAATGCTTTTTACATGTAATTTGGTGAATTGTTTTTATATCTATTGACGTAAGTTCCCTTTCAATTTTTATAAATTTTAGATTTTCCGTTTCCAAGTTATGGGATTTTATTCATGAAAAAGGGGCAATTCCCAAGTTTTCGGACAATAACTCAAAAATACTTTGAGCAGTTTTCTTGAAACTTTGGTGGCTGGTTTATATTTTTTAAATAAGCTCCTTTTTTTATTTTTTTGTTTTTTAATTTCTGATACGACATTGAGTAGTTATGGAACTTTATTCGTTACGGGCGTATCATACGCTTATGACACAGCTCTTTAGTATACCCCCGCTTTAAAAAAGGGGGGTATACTGTTTTACCTCTGTCTGTCCTTTCTGTCAGTCCGTCAGTCCGTCAGTCCGTCCGTCCCATGAATATTTTCGTCGCATTTTTCTCAGGAACTACTTGACAAGGATTTCTGAAATTTTGTTTCAGGGTTTATATAAGTAAGTTACACCGTGTGATGCGTTTTCAGATTCATCACTCAACAACTTCCTTTTTACCGAACACTTGTATTATTTTACACATGATAGCCAAGTTGAAAATTTTCGTCACATTTTTCTCAGGAACTACTTGACAAGGATTTCTAAAATTTGGTTTCATGGTTTATATAAGTCAGCTATACCCTGTGATGCGTTTTCAGATTAATCACTTAACAACTTCCTGTTTACCGTCAAATATTTGGGCTGGGGGTAT